AAGGAAAAACAATTTGAAATCATCGTATAAGGAAAGCAAATAAATTAAGATTTGATAGAAATGTTAAATATAGTACCTAAAAATAATTTGAAAAATCTGGCGAAAAGTAAAACATTATTTACTAAAATATTTTTAAATTTTGTCAACTTATATTTTATACACAGTGTTTTCAGAGGTTCACTCTTAAGGGGTTGAATTGTAGGAGAGTATTATTATTTTATTATCTCCTCGTTACATACCGTATTACATTTGCAGTGGCGGCTTGTAATTATTTGAAAAGGGTGTTCACTTTTTCCAATAATTTTATCTTTTGTTTCAAAACTTTGTACATTGATTTTTGTGTAAAAAAATATTCTACCGTTTTTCGGTTTTTATTGTAAATTTAATCATTTTCACAATTTGTCATACATGTCAAATAAACTAATATATTTTTTAAATACCTTTTATTGGCAAATAAACCAAGTGAACCAAAATATTTATTTTATAACATCAGTCCCATCACAATATATAACATTACCCAGATACAAACTAGAATGAAGATATACAGGGTGTTTATTAATTGAGTGCCGATACTTAAGGGTGTGAATCCTTAGGTGATTTTAAGAAGAAAAGTTAATATCAACATATGTCGTAACTCACTTAATTTTTGAGCTACAGGGTGTTACAGTTTTAAGAAAAAAATTACTTTTTTATCATAATTTTTTTATCACTCCAGATATTTCTATGAAATTTTGTACACACGTTTTAATAATTAAGGAGCATTTTTTGACGTATAATATTTTTTTTAAATTTTTACCAGTGACGTCCGTACGGGGTTTGAACTGAATATTTTTGAAGAAAAAAATGGTACGCCACTGCTTTTTCTAAAAATCAAAATTATTTTTGTAATCACCATTTATTTTGGAGCAAACTTTGTTCATAGACTTACTTTCGTACGATGCACCGTTTTTGCGTAAAAAAATAAAAACCATTGTAGTGGTTGGTCAAATTTTTTCCTTAAATTCATTGATACCTACTGCTTTTGATATTTTGTTGAAATATGGTAGGCACCCACCATGCCTGGAAACATTTTTTTGGGAGAAAAATTAATTTTCTACGTTTTTAATAGAAAAAAATGTTAAGCGCATTATTGCCCTCTTAAAGCAAATGAAATAAACATTAGTAGACTGGGTAAAGCGTCATCATTTTTGACGTTTCTTTTCATAAAGACAATAAAGTTGACATTGATTTTACATTATTAAATAATTATTATTAGAGTAAGAGTTAAAATCTAAAAAAAAATGGTAAATTTTACGAACAGTGAATTAGCTGACATGCATTTTAGTTATGGGCTTGCAGACGGAAATGCATACGAAGCCAGACGGATATACCAAGAGCGGTATCCAAATCGCGTACTACCCGATCCGAGAACATTTTCTAGGATTCATAGACGTCTTCACGAGACCGGAACTTTAAAAGTAGACCACAGGGCTAAAGGAGTCCATCAAACAGTAAGAACACCGGAACTTGAAGAAGGAATTTTACATGAAATTGAGGAGAACCCCGAAACTAGCACGAGGAGAATCGCGTCAACATTTAATATTTCACATGTACTTGTTTGGAAAATTCTCATCGAAAATTTGTTATACCCATATCACATTCAAAGAGTCCAGGCATTACTCCCTAGAGATTTCCCGTTGCGCATTAATTTCTGTGAGTGGTTTCTTCAAAACCTGCTGGAAAATCCATTATTTGTTAGGCACATTCTTTTTACCGATGAAGCTAATTTTTCTCGAAACTCAATAATAAATTTCCATAATAACCATTTTTGGGCGAATGAAAACCCTTATGCAATTGTTGAGTCAAATCATCAAGAACAGTTATCATTAAATATTTGGGCTGGCATTATTGATTAATGGGCCTTGATAGGCCCATTTTTTCTCCCAAGAAGACTTGATGGACAATCATATTTACACTTCCTTGAAGATGATCTGCCGCCAATGCTTAAAGACCTTCCTCTTTTATTAAGAAACCAGATGTGGCTAATGCACGATGGTGCGCCTCCACATTTTAGCTTACGAGTGCGTGAATTTTTAAATCACACCTATCGCAATCGGTGGATAGGTCGCGGAGGAACGCAGTCATGGCCGCCTAGATCTCCCGACCTTAATAGTTTAGACTTCTTTTTCTGGGGGCATCTGAAAAGCTTAGTGTACGCAGTGCCGATTCAAACCGAAGAAGAGTTACGAAATCGTATAACAGTCTGCTGCCAAACCATAAGAAACACCCCAGGAATCTTTGAAAATGTGCGTCAGTCTATGCGAAGAAGAATAGATGCTTGCATACGTGTGGGTGGAGGACACTTCCAACAATTACTGTAAATAATTTGGGTTCTTTATTTTGTTTGTATTCTCTTGTAATGTCGTTTTAGATTCAAGATTTTGAATTTTCATTTTACTATAAATAATTCCCGATTTTTAAAATACATAGAATTTAAAAAAATCAGAGGTGTACGTTTTTTTTTCTATCCAAACATTCAATATGATGCCTACGTGGCCGTCACTGGTGGAAGTAGAAAATTAATTTTTGCCCCAAAATAAGTGTTTTCACGCATGGTGGGTGCCTACCAAATTTCAACAAAAAATCAAAAGCAGCTTAAGAAGAAAAAATTTTGGTTTTTATTTTTTTACGCTAACACAGTGCATCGTACGAAAGCAAGTCTATGGGCCAAATTTGCTCAAAAATAAATGAATATTTCAAAAATAATTTTGGATTTTAGAAAAAGCAGTGGCGTACCATTTTTTTCTTCAAAAATATTCAGTTCAAACCCCGTACGGAAGTCACTGGTAAAAATTTAAAAAAATCTTATACGTCAAAAAATGCTCCAATGATTAAAAGGTGTTTACAAAATTTCATAGAAATATCTCCAGTGATAAGAAAATTATGAAAAAATATATATTTTTTCTTAAAACTGTAACACTCTGTAGCTCAAAAATTAAGAGATTTACGACATATGTTGATATTAACTTTTCTTCTTAAAATCACCCAAGGATTCACACCCTTAAGTATCGGCACTCAATTAATAAACACCCTGTATAATGCGTGGTATCCTAAATTATATACTTTACATTTTAAAAAACCCCTTAACTCCCATTTTCAATCAGATTTTTTTCAGAATCAATAGGCTTTATCCCCTTATGGAGTTGGGTATAAAACATATGACTATTTTGTAGAAACTGGAACAAAACAATATATAAACAAAACCTCAAAAATAATAGTAAATGTTTTACCTGGAGCTTGGAGACGTGTTTCGTTAACAATCATTGAATTAACACACATACTTTCGATTTATTAAATTCGCAGTTTTATTTAAACACAGTTGGAAACATTAAGATGAAATATTGTACAGAGGGCATAAACACTATTTTGCGATATGACAAGTGAACGTACTTTGAGTTTTATTTTGATTAATTTGACGTTAATAATTTTATATTTGAAGATTGATTGAATGAAAATGTTTTTAATGTCATTTAAGTCATGCTATTTAAAAAAAATGGTATTTACTCTCACTAAAACAAACTAACTTCACTTGCTCGAGTTTGACATATGACGTAAAACTGTGCAGACACTTTTAATATCGTCATAGCATCTCCTCTTTATTTTATATCAATTATTGCCCTGCATTACTTTGTGACGTCACTGTGTGCGTTGCGCAAATTAAGCTGATTTAAGTGATTTTCTTTGTTTCATTACGTTTTACAAATCTATTAACGTGTGACATCTTTTTCAGCTAAAAACTTTCGAGAACACTTCTTACTCCTTCGGGCTCACTTATAAAAGGGCGCCACGGAAACGCGATTAGCCAGAGCGCAGTGGCGTACCCAAATATAGATATTAACACGTATGAAAACAATAAAATTATTAAAATTAATATTTTTATGTTATTTATTTTAAAATAATGTGTTTTTATGAAATGTGACTGGGCGTTCATTGCACAAATGAACCAATGGAGTAACTGCCCTTGGTTCTCAATTTCCTGTAAAGATATTTGATGTTTTCCTGTTCATACAAATGAAACAAATTTTAGGTTGTCTTATTAATGTAGAATATAAAAGTTTAATTAATTTTATATTAGAAAAAGGGTATGTTTGTCTTAATAGAAACCCGATTAGCTGATTTAACTGTATTATCAATATCTTTTTCAACCGAAAATTTAATATTCTAGGTTACACCTGGATCTCTAAATTCATAAATCCTTTATTTGATTGTCAAGTAAGACTGGAACTTCTGTTTATTTACATTCAGGTTGTAACATTTTTTTATATTGAAATTTAAACACTATTATTACTAGTTTTTTTGATGAGCCACACAGCAACTGGTTGAATTTGTTTATATATTTTGAGGTGATCTGCAAATAATAAGCATTTAAAAAATTTAATACATTTTGTAAATGTCATTAACAAATAACAGAAATACCAGAGGACCCAAGTTGGAGCCCTGAGGTATGCCTGAAGAAGCGTGAAATTCGAGCAAAGTGTTTAACTTGAAAATATGTGTTCTAAATAACTGTTAAACAAACTCATGGCAAACTTCATAAGTTTTTTCCAACAAAACATCATGATTCACACGATCAAAGGCTTTACTAAAGTGTATTATAAAAAGTTGAAATTTATTTTCTAAAGTTTAATTTGCAGAATAAGTAAAGGACAAATTGGTATTAATTATAAATCTATGTCTGTTATTATTGGTTTACTGAATTTCCCCAAACTAATAATAAATTTTTGTATATTATTTATTTAGAATATCACTTTTATTGCATGATTTGTTTGGTACATTGAGTACGTATAAATATGTCTTTCTCAGGTTTCCTCTACTTATCCTAGTTATGTGATTTTAACAAATTGCTTTTAAAAGAATAACTTTTTTTAAAAAGTTTCTAAACCTCGTTCTATGGTCGAGAACAGGGATTATTGTTCAATATCCTAAATAGCTTTTCTCACGATAAAACTTTTTTTTTGCAGATTTGCTGATCGAAATGCTGGGCGTCCTGGCGAGCTACAGCATTACCGTGAAAGAGCTGAAATTGTTATTCGGGGCCATGAAAGCCGTAACAGGAAAGTGGGTAAGTGCATTTTATATCCCGAAAAAGAGATTCACCGCGAGCTTGTTTGCGTACGAAAGAGGATCCCCCATAAAGGACGACGCACTCGAATCTGATATTTATGTAGGCCTTGCTATGTGTTGTCCTAGTTTTAGAGGTACGCTCGTATTTCAACACAGTTTTTAAAACGCATCCTTCAAGAATTTTTGGTATTTTATTTTTACTAAATGGTTCAATATTTTCTGTACATAATGTTAAGTATTTTATTTACACACACTACTTCTCTCGGGTGGCACAAAATTGATTGAATACATTTGATCGAATGTATTTGATCGAAAAAACATTTTATGTAATAACAATTGATCAAAAAGAACAATGATCGAAAAGAAAATTGATGGAAAATAGATTTGATAGAAAAAGCAATTGACAGATAAAAGAAATATAAAACGAAAAAATAAAAAAAACTAAACTAATTTACCCAACCTGTGCGGCCTAGAGCCATCGCTGGTTGCTTCGCAAAAAATATATACGTTTCGTTTCGTTTTTAAAATTCTTTATTTACAGTATAAATTTATCTACATATTCACACACTGGTAAAAACAATTCGACGTGAAACCTATAGTTTCATGCGGGCCCGGGGACCATGGCAGACATATCTGCCTGTTAGAACCGATGAGTGATTGGTATTATGATTATAGCGGCCCTCACTCCTTATCGTAACGGTATTATTGACGGATTTGGATGGTTTTGAATCGACAATTGAGAAGTATTTTTAAGTTTTGTCGTGTCTTAGTTGTGGTTATTGTCCCCTGGAAAAAGCTAGCAAAAAACAGGGTTGTCCTTGTATGTGAGTTGGTCTTTGTTTGCACTTCAACCCTGGCATCTATCGAAAGTGTATAGGGCTTTCAGTCGATGTCCCAGTGGCCGAGCCAGCGTGCAGTCTGCCGTCCGACCAGATATTTTGGGTATCTAGTCGGTGTGAATTGTCGTTAGTATGTTTGTCGCTGTTACGAGGGATGTTACTATCTGTTTCTGAAAATGTCTAGTCTGGAGTGTATGCATCCGTGTTTTCTACGCACGTTGTCTCCTCTATGAGTGTTAGTGATGCTTTCCCTTAATGAATCTGGGAGGCATCGCGCGTAGAAGTTGTTAGCTGTCGAAAGTATAAATTGTTTAATGTATGGGCTGTCTGTTTGTGTGTGCATGTCCATAATTCGTGCATAACGGTCATAGCCCAGGGCTAGCCTAATACACCTGTTCTGAGCGATTTGCAGAGTTTTTTAGTGAGTGTTTGCCATTGAGCAGAACACTGGACACCCATATGTTAGTATAGGCCTGTGTATGGTTTTATAGATGAGCAATTTGTTTTGTAGTGACAGCCTGCTTCTTCTATTAATTATGGGATACAGCATGCGAGTGACTGCACTGCTTTTGTTTGCCCGTTCTTTTACGTGAGTTTTAAATGTTAATCTCTTATCTAGCTGAAATCCGAGATATTTTAATGTTGTTTTCGTTGGGATTTAATCGCCTTTTAGAGGATTCAATATTGGCTGTGTTCTCCTTCTTGTGAGTAGAACACACTCGGTTTTTGTGGTGTTTAATTTCATTTTATTTTCAGCTAAATAAGGGATTAACGTGTCGTTTATATGTGCGTCCAGGTCTCTGACTACAGTTTCCGCTGATTTATCACTTTTGAAGACACAGGTGTCATCGGCGTATAGCGCCGTCTGTACACCATTATGTCCCATTGGCATGTCATGGGTCATGATGGTGTACAGATGCGGCGATAGTACCGAGCTCTGAGGTACTCCCGCTTGCACTGTGTATGGTCTTGTAATTGTAGAGTTTAGTTTAATGTTGAATTATCTGTCCTGTAAGTAAGACAGAATTATTTTTACAATATGTACTGGAAATTCATTCACCAGCATCTTGTGAATTAACCCGCAGGCCCATACGGTATCGAAAGCTTTCTCACTGTCTAGGGTGACAAGCACCGTTTGTAGGTCATTATTAAACGTCTGTTTGGCGTGATGCACGATTCTAATGACCTGGGCCATGGTGCTATGTCCGCTTCTGAATCCGTACTGTTCCTGCGGGACAATTTGTAGTTGTTCTTCTATTTGTTTTAGTCGTTTTAGAATGATTTTGTCTGTAATTTTTGCTATTGTGTTCAGCAGTGAGATAGGTCGGTAACTTTCAATATGTTTCGGGTTTTTACCCTGTTTGAGGATTGGTATAATATTTGCCACTTTCAGGCTACTAGGGTAGTGTTGTAGCCTGAAAATGGCATTTATTATATAATGGAGGTGTACAACCGCTTTTATCGGTAGATTTTTAAGCATGATGTTGCTTATGTCTTCCGGCCCTGGGACTTTTCTGTTTTTGAGTGCCTTAATTGTTTCCCCTACCTCTTTAGGAGAGGTCATGAACGTTTGTGGGACAATCTCTGGTGGGGTTAATTTTAGTTCGTTAATCATATTTTCGATTATTTGCTGTTGTCTATTGTTCTCTGTGATGTTCGTGAAATTTGATTGAAAATAGACACCGAGGGCTTGGCTTTTGTCTGTGTCTGTTGTGTATGTGTTTTGTCCTTGTGTCAATGGAGGGAGTAGCGATTGAGGTTTCTTAAGCCCCTTCACCACTCTCCACATTGAGTTATCCATAGGGTTGATTTCAGACACGGTTTTCTGCCATTTAGTGTTTCTGTGTTCATTGATCTCGTTATTAATGTAACTGGCTATGTCATGAAGTCGAACCCTGTCTTCTTCTCTCCTATGCGTCTGCCACCTTTTCCTAATGTGGTTTTTGTTCGTGATTAAGTCTGTGATTTCCGGTGGCAGGTAGTCTGTGTGTTGATCAATTTTGTGCCTCCCATTACATGGATGGATAAAGAAACACGAAAAACAAAAAAAATAGTTCCCCTCTCTTCCTCTGCCACGCCTAAATAGCAAGGGATAGAAAAAAATAAAAGCGGGGCCTGTCTGTAACGATTTCAAACCCTCCAACTTTTCCCGCCTCTACTTCACCCCCACCCCTACTTCCCCCCACACTCCAGGATGGTCGATATATAGAACCCCTAGACTTAGGAAAATGAACTTCGGGTACGATTGTAACCATTCTGCCCGAGAAATTTTCCATGGACTGGAGGTATTGCAGGCTTTGATGGTCAGTTATAACTAAAAAAGGATATCCTTCAAGATAAGGTTTCATTTTTTCAACTCCGAAAACAACTGCAAGAAGTTCTTTTTCTGTAACATTGTAACTTTTCTGCTTTTGACAATGTTCTGCTTGCGTATGCTATGACATGTTCTTGTCCGGAATCGTCTTTTTGTAGTAGTGTCACACCTAACCCATAATTTGAAGCTTCGGTTTGCAAGAACATTTTTGTCGTGAAATCAGAACACACCAAGATTGGTGCTTGCGTGAGTAGAGTTTTTAACTTGTTGAAGGCTTCATCTTGTTTCTGGTCGCAATTCCACCGCTGTTTTTTCTTTAGGAGTTTGGTAACTGGGGCCGTTGTTTCTGAAAAATCCTATATGAATCTCCTGTACCATGATGTAATACCTAGAAAACGCCGTAGCTCTTTAATCGTTTTAGGGGCGAAGTAGTCGATTATAGCTTTTATTTTATCATCATCCATTTTGGTTCCTGATTCGGTTACCACATGTCCAAGGTATTTGATTTCTTCTTTGCAGAATTTGCACTTTTTAATATTAATCCGTAACTTGGCCTGTTGTAATCTACGGAGAACTTCTTTTAAATTTTTCATGTGGGATTTGAATGTAGCACCCAGAACTATGATGTCGTCTAAGTAGGCGAAAGCGTATGGTTCCATTTCTGGACCGATTACAGTATCCAAAAGACGTTGGAATGTAGCGGAGGCTGCATGGAGGCCGAATGGGAGGACCTTGAACTGGAACAGTCCTTTTCCTGGTGCGATGAAAGCTGTTGCCAGTTTGCTATCTTCTGTAAGTGGTACTTGCCAGTAACCGTTCTTTAAATCTAGTATGTTGAAATATTTCGCTGATTTTAACTTTTCCATGATTGATATATGGTAATGGGTAGGCGCCTTTCTCTGAAATTTCGTTAATTTTTCTGAAATCTATGCAAAACCGGTATTCGTTGTTATCTCTCTTTTTTACCATCACGATCGGGGTGCTGTATGGACTGTTGGATATCTCTATTAGCATATCTTCTTTTAGCATTTTGTCTATTTCGTCGTCTATTATACTAGACGACGAAATAGACAAAATGCCGAAAAAAGAAGTAATACAGAGATCCAGCCGTGGTGTGTTGTACGATGTTGTAAAGAAATTTGTTAAATCCTTTATGAAATCGTCCCAGGTATCCCAGTATCTGTTATTGCTCCAGTACCACAGAATTGCTTTGCCTTTCAATGTTTCGGGAAGTGCTTGTAGCAATTTGGCTGTCCTGTAGGTCGTACGCCGTTTGGAGTTCTTTTATCCGTTCCAGAAAGTCTATGGGATCTCTGGACCCGTCGAAATGGAGTTCCCATTTTCTGATTATCTCCATCTGTTTGCATTTATCGTTGTTGATGTTCGTGTTTGTAGCCGTTTCATTAGAGGAGTTTTCTGGGTCCCTTGCCTCTGTCGTTCTGGTTATGTTTACTACTAGTCTCGTCCTTAGTTCTTCCACCGTTCCTTCTGTAGGAGCTCTTCAATCGTTTAGATATGTTATTAATTCTTCTCTTTTTAGTTTGTAGATCCAACCTACTTTTGTGGAGCTCTCATCGTCTTCTGGCATTGTTGCTTACTGTTGTTTATTGGGCGCACCCTATACCTGTACTTGTTAGCTTCTTGTATGCGTGCAGCGAACTGTCTTAATTTCCTTTGTTATTCCTTTACTGCTCGGGCGCCATCTGTAACCCCTCCTGGGGTTTGTTCGGCTAGCAGGTAGATTTTAGACAGTCGGAGATAGAGTTGTTTGGAAATAAAACTTTATTCTAATAGTTTATGTACAGATAACAATATTTACAATATGTACATGAAAAGGTTCTAGCT